GCTACATAAATCTGCGAATCTGTCAGTGCTAGAGTTAAGACTCTGTGGCGTGAGTGGTTGGGCCTTTGACCGGAGATCTATAATCCTCTTTTCTGAGGACGTGGGTTCGCTTCCACCTGAAACCGATCTATCAATAATTGTATAGAATTTTATCGATATGACAAGGTTTCGAACTTCGCACTATGCTCGTGAAATTCCAAAATTCAGATCCATTCTTCATTCTCTGAATGCTTCATTAATAATTTAAATACCCAAGTCAGTAACAAACTTTAAGCCATCTTAAAACTTTAATGTCAAACCAGCATTTTTCATTTGACATTTAAAATTAAGAATCTAATTAAATTTTGCCTACGTCCAATTCAGCGATAAACAAAAAGAACAACTTTTTAAAATGTCAAGGCTGAATTTTGCGAAAGAATTTGAAAACAAAATTTAAAATCTGACATTTGAAATCCTCTTATTAATGCTCCTCTTCAAAAATTAATATTAAAAACCACTTCCTTCATCGACCTTGTAAATTTATCAATAATTTTGCACTCAACGTATCAACTGGTTCCCACATTACATCCTTCATTAACTTCTCATTTCATCAATACACGAAAAACTGTAGAATATGAAAAAATGATAAAAAATGAACCGAAATACATTTAAAGTTTAGATAAAGAAGGGAAGCGAACACGAAGAAGGAAGGAACAAATTGAGGAAAGGTAACGAGGCATAGAAAAAGCTTTAAATCATTGAAAGCATCCTTAAAGCAAGAAGTAGGGTAAAAAATGATCCCTTTATGATGCCATGAACTCTTTTCTGATGTAATGGCTACTTCTTGAAAGGATGAAAATATAAAAAAAAAGAAGTTGAAGATGTTGTGGATGTTCGGAACAGCTTGGACGCATTATTGATTTTTTGTTGTTGAGGATTATTGATTGGGGATTAAGTTTAAACTGAAATATAAGATCCAGTGATCATCCAGACAGCTTGATAACAAGACAAACTGCATCTACCGCAACTACTTCCAACAAACCCTCAATAAAACAGAAAACATATGAAAGCTTTGTACAATATATAAGCATAATAACAATGGCAGCGACACAAATACAATCTTACTGAAAGGCACAAAAAATAAATTGAATTCAGCAATAGCTTTACATGTATCGATGAACTTTTTTACCCTCTTTCATTTACCGACCATATCCCTCGCATTTCATATCCCAATGTGAGTTGTAATACCAATAAATAAGTCAATCATATAAAAAAAAAGTTTCCCTTTTTCCATATAAAATTAAAGGCATACACGACAGGTAGAGAATGTCTGAGACTGAGATCAAAAAAGAAAATTTATGCTTCAGCAGAATGTGTGCGTTTGAGACAACAAATCTAACTTCTTTTTTTGTCACCCTTTCACGGCAATAAAAGTGAGGCACATTCTCTCATGTCGAAAAACGTAACATAAATAAATAAAACTTCAATCCTCTTTTACCTCATTGCCTGTGCTTGCTGTTGTTGTGGATTTTATTCCTCTTTTTTTTGTAGTAAAATGGGAAGTGGAAAACCACAAAAGCACTGCTGAAAGAGAGACAAAAAACACACACACACAAAAGCAAGCATAAAAATGACACATTGTGGTTTAGCCATTTGTTGCCATCGTGATGCCATTTCTTGCTTTATGCTGCCTTGTTTTTGTAAAATGGTTTGGAAGTTTGTTGTTGATTGGCTTGTCATGTTTAAAGGCATAGCTTGGAGTTGAATTGAAGCTATTTTTTATGGAATTGAATTGACTCGAGTTGAGTTGATACTCTGGGCGTTTGTCATTTAGTACCAAACCTATCCGGTCCAAAATGTGAACCTCAATTGTTATGCTATAGATCCCCCCATACCCCCTAACACAAAAAATTAAAGACGTCATTTATGAACAAACCCATTTGAAAAACTGATTAAACGAAATGGAATTTTTTAATATTCGCATCTAGTTCCAATAGTGACTATATTGCTTTGTAAATGTAATCCGGCTCAGTGCATATTTGACTCTCAAATCAAATCATGTTAATGAAATGAAATTTCAACATTTTATATCCTTCATAAATTTCACATTTCTCCAAAAGAACAAAACTCTTTCCCGTTACATTTGCGAACATGAGTTTGGCATGTATATAAAATATCAAAAGGCCATAAGTATGAAATGTTGCGATGTACAGGTAGGCAGATATCATCCGGTTTAGAGAACGTGGTATATTGGTATATGGAAAGTTCCTGAATTTCAAAGTCTGTTAGGATGATGTTTTGTAACGGAAGTAATTGAGTGTTACTTTAAAGTGGTCTTGTTAAGGATGTTTAAGAAATGACGATTTTGATGATTTTGAGAGTAATTTTGAATGTTTAGGAGCCTGGAGCAATTCTAAATAAGCCTTCAGTGACGAAAAACAGTTTATGGTGAGCTCTAAGAGTCTCTAGAGAAACTAAAGAATCTCTAGTGAGATTAGTGAATTACCAGCGACCTCTAGTGAACTGTTAGCGACCTTAGTAAACTGCTAGCAACCCTAGTGACCTGCTGGTGACCCTAGTGGACCTAGTGAACTCCTAGCGACTCCAGTGGACTACCTGCATCCAAAGTGAACTACAATCATCCCTAAAGTGTTTCCATCGGATCTGAAAAATCTCAATTAATCCTCTAAAGCTTCATCCAACGTTAAAGTGTCTCAAAAAACACAAAATATCTACCAACAGTCCACTAATACCTCAATTCAACTCTGTCAAATCACCATCCTAAGAATGATCCTTAAAAATATTTATAGACTATATCCAAAATGTTCCTAATGTCGTCAAATACAAACATTTCCACTCACATGCACGTAAAAAAAATGTAATCAGTTTCACTTTTATGTAGATTCTTGAGCAACATAAACATCCGAGCCTCCCCATCCAAATAAAATATTTTCTCTTTCCGAATAAAGTCTCAAAGCAAATAAAAAATGGAAAGAGCTTAAAAAAATGTTGCCGTGTAGTGGAAGAGATGAAAGGACGGATGGAAGTGGAAAAATAATGTTTACTGATAAATTCGAATATATTTTTTTATGTATGGATTATAGAGTGAAATGTTCTAAAAGCACCTGAAGCGTGTATGAGTTCCTGATACTTATATCCGGATGATTACAAAGGGGACTTGGCAATCAACCCCCCAATGTGAATATCTATAACGCAATGTAAATATTTTGCATAAGCTCAATATGTGACATTTGTCGTGAAACAAAATTCAACCCAAAATTTGGGTTTTTATCTTCTTGTTGCTGTGGATATGCTCTCGTCGTTCTCCCATTAAGCACATAAATTCTGAGAGCGTAGAGTATTGGAACAGAACATACACGCACATATATATTTTGTGTTCTTTTTCGGTATGTATTAATAAATAATTTATGTGAACAGATTCAGCAGATTTTTGCGTACTTTTTTGGTTCCATTGACTCAATGGGCTTCATGATTTACTTTTTGACAAACTGATTCGATGGCTAGGAAATATTGAAATTAAAATAAATGCTTTGATATTAAGCAAATAGTAATACTGATTCATTGATGTACTGAGAAGCGACATGGAACTAGCATTAAGCTATTATTTGATTTCAATCAATTTGCATTCAGCCTTTACAAATATGCGCCTCAATTGCCTCAACAAATACCAATTTTTAATACTCAATATTAAAGCAGATGACATTTGGTATGTACATTCTGAAAGTTATCATAGCCCAAATGGAATACTCTAGAGGAACCGAATAAAAATTAAGAGGCATGGACCAAAATGTCTCTTTCGAGTGTACGAGCTGAAAATATTTAAAGATTAATTCTTGCTCTTCTACAGCATGGTAACCACCTCCATTTTTCAGCAATAAATTTATTTCCGTCCCAAAAATGCCCCGTCTGGCTTAATGCCATAGCGTAAAATTAAAGTATGACATAATTTACGATATTTATTTATGAAAAACAAGAAAATTTTCATTTTATGTATAATTACTTAATAATTATATTAACTGCCATTGTGGATGAGTTAGATATGTAAATTGCTTTCGGAAAACTTTAATAAATTGCCTTGACTTATGGCTAACACACACATGTATGAATGGACCTGAATCTTAAATCTCATTTCCTTTAAATATGCACATAAATAAAACAGACAATTTTAATATCGTAAGCATCATTTGTGATGTAAAAGGTTATTTTGGATAGAATATCGCTTTGGGTGCTTTAATCAAGTTTATATTCAGAAAATTGGAATTCATTTCCATGGAAGTTTGTCTTTAACTTTTGATGAATCATTTCTTATTTTTGGTTATGCTACATGCTAGAATTGAGTCAAATTTACAGCCTACAATCATCAAAAATTGACGTAGGAGTTATGACAAATTTGGCAAATATTAATCTAGTTCGAAATTAGAAATTAATGAGATTCACATGAAATGAATGGAAGCAGGGGTGTAGCCAGGAATTTGAAGGGGAGGGGGGGCAGGCAATTTTTTTTGTAAAAACCTTAGCAAAATATAGAATTTTCTGTTGACGGTGGGAGATTTTTTCACCTGCCCCCCCTTAACTGTATAGCTCTTCGCGTACATAAAGACATATAATTAGGTTTAATGAAAATTAAAACTCCTACAGCATCAACTTCATTTTTATGTCAATATTAAAGCTATTAACTTTTTCCATACATGTCCATGACCATCATGTCCAGATCCTTTCATATCTTGATGTCATATTATTGCTATTCATGATTTAAATCTCATTTCAATTTAATGAGTTTATTTAAATTTTCTCAGATTTATACACGCTTGACTTTACAGCATATGCATCAGAACATTTAAATATTTTTAATTCAACCCATTTTAATAGCATCATTATGTCATTATAAAGGATGAAAGTGGTGGAAGGAAGAAGAAGTGAAAAGTGTAGAGATATATAAATTTGTAATTAACCAAGCTAGTGGAATATAAACCGAACAGTAAATGCTATTTTTTACTTACCATTAACTCTAACATTATAATGAATAAATCTCGGTGGCGACGTGCTTATCTGTGGAAAGGAACAATCTTGTGTCATAAATTTTATTCATTTTTTTGTGGTTACAATTCAGCCTTACTTGACACTCATAGGTGGCTTCATCGTTTTTTTGTGCTTGAATAATTTTTAATCGCCAATTATTTGGATACTGAAAGTCGACAGAGTATCGTGGTTCTCCGGAATATGTTTGCTTACCGACGGTGAGAAGTTCCAAGCCATTTTCACCACTCTTCCGGCGAACCCAACTAACCTGTGAATGGAATGAATTGTAAAAGACATGAGAAAATGGATGATAACGATATGTGGAAGTGGAAAAAATGTTGTTATGGCTTGGAAGGAAATTAATGCAATAAAGCAGACTGTTTTTTGTAGTTGTCGAATGGACAGCAAGAAGTTAAGAGGTTTTATTAGTGAATGGAATTATGAAGCGCATTGTTCAATAGCGATTAGAGGTCGTCACTAATGACGTCCAGTAGGGGGGAGGGATCAGCAAGAAAAAAAAAATTTAACTTTTAATAATATTAATAAACGTTTAAAATTTAAAACTTCAACTTTTTTAAAAATTTCAAATTTTAATAAATGTTAAAAATTCAAATTTTTTAAAAAATGTTAAAATTCAAAAAAATTAAAAAACTGTTGAAATTCAAATTTTAAAAAAATAATATTTCAAAAATGTTAAAATTTAAACAATTTTAAAAAATTCAAATTTAAAAAATCCGTTAAGTAAAAAATCAAGAATTCAATTCACTAAGTATAAACAGTCAGCCAAAGCTTTCTTTATCCATTTCCTTCCACATCAAACAACTTCCCTTTAGAAGAAGCAAAGTAAATGAATAGAACAAAAAAAAAATCGTGATTCTGCCAGTAAACTGCAACTTACCGTTTTATCTTGCAGTAAACTAATTCTACAATGTAAATAAAATGTGTTTCCAACTTGGACAGTTATGTTTGTAACATTTCCGGTTTCGAAATGTGGTCCATATCTGTGTGAACGAGAATGTAGAAAAAAAAAACATTTCTATTTTTTTTTTATCCAAAAGCAAGAGAAATAAAAGACAGAATGATGAATGTTAATTTTCCTGCGGCAGGATAGAGTTCAGGATTTTTTTTAAAGTCAGTGCTTGAAATTATTTTTTAACAAGTATTTTCAGTTATTGAGGCTTTTTATAGAGTTGATGGTTAATAAAAATGTTGAAAAAATTTAAATTAACTTTAAAGCCAATTTTTATTGCAGACCAGCTATTCTGGTTTAGGTTTACAATATTTACAAGCTTGAAACTACTTAAACACAAGAGCTTTTGTGCTGCATTCATAAATTCAAAAATGAAAAGCCTCAACATTTTAAATAATTTTCCTGGTTACGATTTGTAGAAAGTTCAACTTTAGATTCAATAGCCAGGAATTTGAAGAGGGGGAGGGGGGGGGGGACCAAAATAATTCGATATTAAAAGTTCAAAGGGATAGGGGGGATTTCATGATTTTTTCATAAAACTCCTAGCAAAATGAAGAAATTTGACGTCGGAGGATTTGTCTCCCCCCCTGGTTACCCGCCTGAATTGCCCACATCACTAGTACCTATATAAGGCCATTTTTGTGCTACAGTGCGTTTAGTCTTTTCCTCTGATGTCCCACTGACATTTAAATGTTCCCAAAATGAAAAGTTAATAAATTAATTTTCAAATGCCATTCCAAATCCAAGAATGAAATTTTCAATCAAAAATGTCGATTTTAATTGAATATTCAAGCCATAGTTGGAATCAATATTTTTCATAAATTGCTGAATATTTCAATCATGAATTTTTGATAAATTTTTGTGGCTACAATCAAAAAAAAAATCCTGAACATCCATTAAAAATGCAAAAAGCTTTCATCATAAAAAGTATACATTGAATGTCTACATACCGAAATCCATGCTCATGCGTTTTCAAATATGCCGAATGATCAAAATAGTTATTTAACTGTGGCATCTCAATTTTCTGGCCACTGACTCGTATACCGCCACTTCCACTCGATATTTTTGCTATACTATTACTACCACCTCGTTGCTTAGAGGATTTTCCATAATGCACATTGGTGCTATTTGATTCGACTACACTATCTGTTGTGGCATTGTTTGTTGAACTATTTGTTAACGATTCCGATACGAATCGATTGGATAATGACTTATTGGTTAATGATAATTTTTCGGTTGTCAATTCGAGAAAATTGCTCGATGGGATATTTGTGACTGATACTGTCGTGTGTGCATTATCATTTGCATTACGGTTCTGTGTCAGTCTCATAGCTTTACTATTGTGTATGCTTTCAACCTGCTCGGCTGATGATGTGGCAATTTGGTGACTATTTATGTTATTTATACTGATATTTGACACATTTCTATTCTCTGGTGATGTTGTTGCTGAGGATGTCTTAGAATCTGTGAATGGAAGAAGAGATACGAAAGTTTTGTTTAATCTTGCTTAATCTTTTTAATTGCTATGGTGAGGATTGAATGGAATTCCTTAAGAGAAATATTTATTTCCAAGAATTTTTTTACACTTCTTGGGTACAGACTGAATTATTTGGTTCGGTGAATCTTGTGCTTTAAGTTCTTATGCTTTAAAGGGTGTCAGCCATAACTTATGTACGTAAAATAAGCTTTGAATTCTAAAGAATTCTAGAATTTGACTCTTGGGCTGGTTTCAAGTTTTACTCAAAGGCACTCTTTTATAGGAATGAAATTTGATGTGCTTTAGTATGCGGTAGGAATAAATTGTATCTAAGACTAAGACAGGGCACCATGAGTAGCTTAGAAATCAGCTTCAACTATCTTCTTATAAATAGTTGAGAGAGTCCCGACTAGCACAAGTCGGTTAATCGATCAGAATTCCGTCACAAAGCTGGTGTAACTCTGGCATGGTGCTGGATTTAAATCGAAGCCAACACCATACCAAAGTCATGCCAGCTGGTCTCTGGTTATTTATTCGATTAACCGACTTGTGCCATTCGGTTACATGTAACACCTACAAACCACTAAAGGATTATTAAAGCTCCTTAATGAATATTTCTGCAGCAAATCACGTAGCTTGTCAATTATCTTTAACGAGCCTTCAGTTTCCCATTCATAAAATTACACTTCCATTCATACACAATCATTCATAATCTTCTTCTTATTATAATTAGTCAAATTACTTGATTCATTACTAACATCAAAGGATCGTCCTTAATTTATGTGACAAAATTATGTTTTTGCAATTTAATCAGCTTATGTGTAGGGGTTCTAAAATAGGGAATATTCCCGGGAATTCCCGTTTTCATACCAAAAAAAACCGACAATTTAAATTAGTTTTTTTTTATTTTGTATTTTCCATGAAAAATACTACAATTTAAAGAAAAAAATTATAATAATGAAAACATACGTTAAGGAATTTAAGAGTTGAAATATTAAACTCAAATTTGAGTGTCCATCAAGTAGTGTGGAGTGATGGACTATATATGGGTTTTTGTGCTATTTTGTGAAAGCAGAAAAATAACTTTTTTAAATTTTGTGAAGTTGCCAGTTCTGAGATATGAGCATCTGAAAACGGAGCTAGGGCCGATTTTTTACTTTTAACACTTTCGACTGTAAATCTGACAAGGCTTAACGAAAATTGTTCAAACTTGGTCAGTAATTTGTGCAAATGTTTCTTAATCAAATAAAATAAACGAAATATTTTTATCTAGCCTAACCGTTCTACTTGATGGACACCAAATTTGATGTTTTTTAAATCAAAAACATATATTTATGAAAAACGAAGAGAAAAAGTATTTAAAAATATTTTTTAAATGTATGATGTCCTTAAAATAATAAACTTAATTGACATTGGATTAAAGTAATTTTTGCAAAATAAAAAAAAAACGTGCTGGAAATTAATATTTCTGGAATCCACCAACATCTACAAGAGCTGAAAGTAACTTTTCAATCTCCAATAATATTGTCTCAAAAATCGCACTAGATTGCTAGACCAGTTAAAATCGTACTTTAAGAATTATTCTAAAACCAAAAAGAATTGAATTTCAAACGGAAATTATTGTCAAAAGAATCAATTTGACAATCAAATCAAATAGAATTTAAATTTGATTTAAAAACCTAAATAAAAGGCTTTCAAAATTTTGAATTAATACTATATATTTTTGATAATTTTCGATCTGAATACACCCTTAATTAACGCAAAAATGTGAAATCACAATCAGTCCAAAAAAAACCAAATTTCTCAGCAACCTTTGACTTTCAATTTTCTCACAATTTTCTTCAGTTTAATTCTTTAAAGACGTGTTTTTAAATATTGTTGCAAATCGGTGCAAATAAATTGGAACTTGACATTATTAATGCTTAAAAAGAAGTGGAGTTCAAGATAAAAGTGATAGTGAAGTGCTAAAATGGAAGCAACAGTGAAAATAAGCCAAAAGTGATAAAAAAATTAAAAGTGAAGAAAAAAATGAAAAATTTTCTGAGTGAACATTGAAAGTTAAGAAAATTAAATTCAAGAAGCTGTAAAATTGAAGTGAAAGTGAGATTGATGAACCTTGAAGGAACCAGGACACAATTAAAGAAGCAAGAAGCTAGTGACAACGAAGAAAAAGCTAAGTATACTAATAAATAGCAGAGATCGAAGCCGATTTTTTCGGCTTAACTCAATTTTTGATTTTTTTGATAGAAAAAAGCCATTTGACACCCATTTCAAGTATTTAAATTGAACTTTACATGCTTTACTATGATTCTGTGTAATATTTTGCCAGCATGTAGCTATAGGAAGCTTAGAATTTCAAGTTAAAGAATGTTAAGCCGAAATTTAAGCCGATCGGCTTAAAATCGGCTAAATTGAAATTCTGAGCTCACTATAGCTACATGCTGACAAAATATTACACAGAATCATAGTAAAGCATGTAAAGTTCAATTTAAATACTTGAAATGGGTGTCAAATGGCTTTTTTCTATCAAAAAAATCAAAAATTGAGTTAAGCCGAAAAAATCGGCTTCGATCTCTGATAAATAGTCCTCAAATTCCTTTTCTTTAATGAAACCAGCCATTTGACTTCCTACAATTGCGTACGTAATGCTTGCAATACGTGAAATGATTACTTAAAAACGCATTGCATTGATTTTTACATTTCGTCAGCCTTTGTTGATGTAAATTAAGAGTGGGAGTCGTTGAATAGGTCAGAGGGGGGTCGATGCAAGATGAGGAGGGGTAAAACTTGAGGGAGCAAAGTCTTTTGACCCTTTTTTAAAAAGTTTTTCTGTTCTTTTTTTTTTGTAAATCGAGCCTATGAGTCATGTGTTTCTGCCTGTGAGACTTACTATCGTGGCTATTGATTGGTTCATCCTTGATGTAGAGTGGCATCAAGGACATTGATTGCTTGCTCGTAAATGAGACTTGCAATTTTTTGTCTAGATGCCTGTTCTCACACACAGCATTAGACTTACATCAGGTCCAATGACGTATCGTGTAGTTTAATGTGAAAAATGAGCCTCTGATGATTTGGGTTGTAATCAATAGAAGCTTAATTACAAGCGTCTAACCCTAACCCTAAATTGTGGTTCTTTTTCATGCTCAGGTGTGTGGTAAAGAACGTTTTTGCCTCTATCTCGGACTGTTCTGATTCAAAGCCTGAAATGTGAGCAGTAATGGAATGAAAACACGATTGATTCATTTCCTTGGTTGAAATTAAACTTGATATGATTAACTATGAAAGAAGAACCATCAAAAAATTTGCTTTCTCAGTTTAATCCCTCCTTCATCTTGCATCAGCTTCTCTCTTACCTGTCCATCGACTTCCATCTTTAACTTACATCGAGAAAGAGCGAACGGAACATAGTACTTAATGTTATGTGATTTTACTTAATCATTTTACGTAACGTAGGCTTTACGTGAGCCATTTTGAAAGTTTTTCTGACTAATTTCCAACAGAGAAAGTGAATTTGATATCATGAAACTTTAATTTATACAGCAAATCTTAATTAAGAATTAAATTTATTTTTATTTTACTAATTCGTTTTTAAAATTGCCATATATTTTAGGTTCTTTAAGGATCAGCACTTATAGCCATCATAAAACATTTCATATGTTGTGTTGTTTTCTTCACATTTGAACAATTACTCATCGTTCACACACAAGTAAGCACATAGTATGAATATTTGATACAAATTGGATTTATATAGACTTTTTTAACTGACAAACTACAGAAGAATTGTCTTGACGATTTCTTATTGTCTTGACGATGTTCAATCATAAGGGGTTCTTAAATCGGGAATATTCCCGAAATTCCCGTTTTCATACCAAAAAAAACCGATAATTAAAATAAATTTTTTTTTTATTTTGTATTTTCGATGAAAAAAACTACAATTTTAAGAAAAAAATTATAATAATGAAAACATACGTTAAGGGCAATTCTACGATTAAAAAAAATTACAAAATTTCTTTATTCTATTAAAAAAACTTTGAATATTGACTTTTTACACATTTAAATTAATTAAAATTATGTAAAAAGGGAATGTTTATCATTATGAATAGTACTTGTTTGCAATAAATAGCTGTATGAGGAGATATTTTAACTTTTTTACTGTCAATCGGTGGAATTTACAAAATGTACTTTAATTTGTTAAACAAACTTTTGACTTAAAACATAGCAATAATGCTTTAATATAGCTAAAATTTGTCAAAAACTGTGTCAATCGGTGGAAATTTTACATATTTTCGACCAGAGTTGCGAAACAGGTCACCTGTGACAGGTGAGAACCTTTCAATTCCTTGATAATTTGTATGGTTTTGTTAGAAAAACCTTATAAATTATCAAGGAATTGGAGGGTTTTCACCTGTCACAGGTGCCTGTTTCGCAGCTCTGTTTTCGACTAAGCTTCAAGCGCTTACAAAAATTTAAATTTTAAATTACCGATGAAATTTAATTTTGTAATATTCTTTACATATGGAAAAACTTACTTTAATTAGTTTTTCATGCCTCTTTTTGCCTTAAAGTTTACACTTTAAGAACGAATAACGTAACAATAATGGAGAAATACACTTTATAAAAAGAAACACAATATTTTTATCCAAGAAATATAACGGATAAAAAAAATTAAATTTTTGCAAGTAGCGAAAACTTACAATGCAAATTTCTGCAGTTCCCTTTACTCGTAGAATTGCCCTTAAGGAATTTAAGAGTTGAAATATTAAACTCAAATTTGATGTTTTTTAAATCAAAAACATATATTTATGAAAAACGAAGAGAAAAAGTATTTAAAAATATTTTTTAAATGTATGATGTCCATAAAATAATAAACTTAATTGACATTGGATTAAAGTAATTTTTCCAAAATAAAAAAACGTGCTGGAAATTAATATTTCTGGAATCCACCAACATCTACAAGAGCTGAACGTAGGCAACTGACCATTTGAAT